AACAAGTTTAAAACGTTATCTACTAAATATTATGTTCTAAAATGTCTATCGTATAAAATTTAAATAAATAAAATTGAAAAACGTGATGAAACACCATGCAAATATCGAACTAATGTTTTTCCTTGAAGGAAAATATTAATTTTGTCAGGTAAAAGAAAAGTCTTTTGAGTCAATTGCAAATGACAAACCTTAAGTAAGTACTTATGTATAATTTATTGTTGTATGAAATCAACATGTTATTTAGCAATTACAACAGTTTCGAACTTTCAATATACTGCAATTTTGTAGACTTTCTCAATTGCTATAAATAAATCCCTTGAAATGAAAACTGAGTTTTCTCGGAAACTGTTTGGTTACAAATTGTTTGATTTCGGTCACAATTAGTTACTAAAAGGTTCCTAACTTTGGGGATAGGTAAGGATACGACTGGACATAATCGGGGGACCGACTTATTATATTTAAAAATGAAATCACAATTTCGGTGTAGGTTTATTTTAATTGATCGTGATCCTGTAATCATATTTTATTATGAAAACGTATTTTTAGCCACACGTGTTTTGGCGTTTTTAATACTTACGTGATATATAAACTTTTAGAACTTTATAACTGTTGTGCGTACTTTGGTGACGGTGGTTGGCAGAACCCTATGGTGATTTTCGGCCGACATACATAATATAATATAAGTGCATGAGCAGTTCGTTACACATAAAACTAGACTCATTAAGTGAAAAGTTGACAAAACACAATTGAAACGCGAGATATCTTTTAAAAGGAAGTACGTTTATCATCCGAGTGGGTATAATATACCCGAGTGGTCCAGTCGATGTATAAAATAACGGGTATAATATATAATATATAAATAACACGAACAAACCGTTGAAGCGTGCTCTCGTACAACTCCTTCCGGTCAATCCCATTTTAAGGTGGGTACACGTGTTTTTTAAAACAGCTTACGTGCACTCTTCTGTGCGGTTTAACCTTTTACGCGTTGTTTGCGAATAAAAATGAATCGATGCGATCCCATCGGCGAACGCGTCCAAAACGAACACGGGTTTTTCGTTGTGACGACGAACCGGAGTTACGAAAGGCGTGTATCGTCCCGTTGTGCGTATCGAGTTCGAGAAACGAATTCACGCGACGACGAATGCACGTCACGATCGCGGCGAACGTCGCGAACAGTACAATAAAAAAAACAATGTTGCAATCGCGCCGACCCGTCGCCCGTTTCGTACGCGCGTCGACGTGCTGGCACGTACGTAAGCACTAACCGTGCATGCGTGTCAACGGGTCGCGACCTGCAAAACCAGGCGCGGTTCTAGGACTACATTTTCGTAAGGGCAACAGTAGATTTATAATTAGGTTTTAACTGCGAATAATGTTCCTCATTTCCTCCCCCTTCAACACAACATTTTTTTTAAATAAAATGTTTATCCTTAAAGCTTCCACAAACTCCTTAAATATTAGCAGTAGATACATTATAGTGTAAAGCTTAAAATCTTTATATTAATTATAATAGGTAGAGGCGATAAAGATTTAAAATATTAAAAAAAATAAAGTAGTCCTTAGTTATGAACTAATTAAATATAATTATGTTTATTTAAATATATTTAAATTTAACTGTCAAAAGAGTTCAGACTATTCAGACTAATTTAAAAAAAATTATTAAGCTACATTTGAAATTGTATTTTACATGATTGCAAACATATCAAGAACAGCAGTTGGATCCTTTAATAATTTTCCGAGTATTACCCATGGATTTGTAAGGATAAACAATGTTTGGTTGATCATAGTTTAAACTTAAGTCTAAAATTTTTAAAGATTTTACCAATTGTCTGGTCGGTTCCGGGTACTAGTCCAATACTACTATTTACATTGGTATTTTCACTACCTATAGAATCATTTGTAGGTACTGATGGAGATTATGGTGTGTCTCCTTCAATTGTTTTTTCAACCTTATGTTTAGAAAAATTAGTTAAAAATGTTTTCATTATATTAAATTAATAGAAACTAAATTCACAAATTCACAATGAGAAAAAAATAGTACAATAGTCATAATATGGTTCCGCAGAACAAGGGCCTGTGTCGGATATCTCAACTTTTCAGAAGCGCCGAAAAACAAAGATTAACTAAATATTATTAATTACAATGTATTTTAGAGTGACATGGGCCCTTCTTCCACTGTAAATTTTGAAAATAAAAACCTGTTGCACATGTAGGTGTATCGCGTTTGTTTATTGAATAAGAAAAGAAATAGTTGCAGATATATGAAATAACATATCTTGGTAATAATATAATTAAATTATTGGGTACGATAATATGATAACAAAAAAATGACGCCACGTCTTTATGGCATAGGCCCTTTTACTACTGAAAATTCTGTCATTTCTGTATGTATAAGCGATTCTCGTAGCTTTTAGTAGCTTCTTTTAGTACTAAAAACCATAGAAACGCATTCTACACATGATATAGGATATTATTCCATAAAAAAAAAAAAAATAATATTGACAAAATCCGACATAGGCCTTATTCGGCGGAACCATTCGTATATCTATACAATATGTATTGATTTGTTGTTATCACGTTATGCCGGGTGTTATGAAGATATTTACCAAACTTCTGGTGACATTCGCTCCCTGCAATTATGAACTAAAATAATACTATCTTAGGTTATACGCCTATCTCTAATTGTGTTATCAATACTAGAACAGCTGCAGCCTCTGCAGCGACATTATCACATGTATAATATTTTAGTAAGTTCTTCGTCGATGTAATGATAATAATATAATTACAAATTATCGTTATAATTTATCAAATGATAAAATATCTTATTTTTGTGTAAAAATAACATTTTTAAAATGAAGGGCACCAGAAATGTTGGTACCCATAGGCAGCTGCCCATACGCTAGAACCGCCACTGCGCGAAACCCGACTTCGATTGCGGTACAATCGATCAACGCTGGTTTAAAGTTATGGTTCCGACGGGACGGCGTTCAGAACACCGCGGTAGAAGTTCGGAACAGTTGCAATCACACCGCGGCGGCGAGGTGATTTTTAGGGAACTCGAATACGGCGTTTTCCACATCGGTTTCGCTCGACCCGACGTCGCACGTTCGTGTACTCGAACACGCGACTCTGCGGTACGGACGGCCAAAGCGGTTATTTTTATACACGCACGTTGTGTAACGCATTGTCCGCCAGCCGAACTGTTAGGCGTTTCGGGTATTCGAATAATTCGGACGCGCTCATTGTCGCGGGCAAAACCGCACCGCGGTGTGACTTTGTCGCGAGGCACGTCGGCCCCGGTGCAGTGCGCCGTCTCGAAACATCGATATCGTCTGGAAGACCGTCGTCGTCGTTATGCACGTGCATTTCATCTATACTTACTTATTTATAGTTCCAAGTGGTTACTATATTATACGTATACAAATTACACTAACCCTCCATCCGTCACCGAATGAAATCAATTAACAGCGGTCCATCGTGTACTAACAAAAAGTTTGCTTTATTAACGATAAACGCTTCGTATTTACAAAAAAAAAAAAAATATATATATATAATAATAATAATATAGATATATGTATATATTATATTAATGTATGTTTGTCAACGTATACATATAATAAAACATCAAAAAGTACATAAAATAATGTTTAGTGAATTCTGGTAATGCTGACCTTAAACGGTATGAACAATAAATAGACACAAATATTTAAGAATATAATGAAAGTAGATTTTTTTTTTTTTTTTATTATTATTATTTTTTATTCGCAAATCAAACACAGACACAATAATAATAATAATAATAATAATAATAATAATAATAATAATAATAGTTTAGTAATAATAATAGTATGCCTGTGTAATATTTGACTAAAATATATATACTACAAAATAAAGAGATAATATTCTTGCAAATGTCGAACTATTAAAGTTTCTTAAACAAAGGCTACATAAAAAAATATATATAAAAAAAAAAAAAGACAGATAAAAACATCGAACGTTCATAGTTTATAGTCAACCATACGGTTTTATCAATATGCATATACGTGTAGTATACAGTGGCGCGTGTAAAGATTTACTTAATTTCAATCGATTGCAAAATGTACGAAACAATGTAACGTGATAATCTCTGCGAGAGAATAAAAAACAGTGACGTTTTGCGTTGGTACAAAATATAGTGATGGTATTATTGAGATTTTGAAATTTCGAAACGCGTCGCCGAGGATAAACATTAAAAAAATGCGAAGAAATCTTCTCATGTACCGGGAAAAACACAATTTAATAGTTAAGGCAGCATTTTTTTCTTTTTTTTCTTTCTTTTTTTCATTTTTTTTTTTATTTTATTATTTTTTTTATCAATTTACAGCAAAAAATATACACATTTGCCGCCACGACAACCGTACTTTAGGCCCGTGATATCAGGTCGATTTTACCGTAGTTGCCCTCAACCGACAGCGTTAAAACGATCGGGACGAAAATAAATATTATAATAAATATATAATTTAAAAACGAGAACAACAAATTTCGCACCCCAGCGCATACGGGCACGACGCAACTCTCGATTACGGGCGTGCGACAGACCGTGTCACTGTACAATACACGTATACGTCATGTTCCGTACAAAATGCGAAACTCGCACTTGTAAGTGTGCAGTACTTGGAAGAGATTTCAAGCAATATGTATATAATACAGAAACTTCACGTTCAACCGAAAGAAAACGTACGCGCGCGTTCATTATTCAATACAACACACGATTAGATACACATCGACGTCTACACACAGTATCCGTTCGGTTACAACAATAATCATGGAAAATGTATACGCGCACGCGGTGAACGAATACAAAATATAATGTGGATGATTTAATGGTACCTGCGCAAATCCTGCGAGTTTATCAAATGCGAACGAAAATAAAAAAAAAATAAAAAAGTAATAATAATAATAATAAACAACAACGTTATAACAATATAGTAATAGTTAATATATATAGTTTTTTTTTTTTTAAAATAGAGCATATAAAAAAAAAAAAGATTACCATTGCGTAATGGTATATTTGTATATAATAAATAAATTATCGTGTGATTTTCTTCTTCGTTCTCAAAAATTAAACTTCTAGAATACCTTAAGAATCATATTTTATATCTCGTACACAGAGCGCTCCTCGGAACATACGTTTATGTACAGTTAACAACTAGACTTACGATTACATACACAATACATAAATATATGTATATAATATACATTTACAATGAGAAACAAAACTGAAATAGTCTTAAACACGGTTATATCTACATCATTTTGTATGTACAATAAATACAATTTACACGGTGAAACGACGAACGTTGCGATGTGTGCACGACGGACGAACGCGGGACAGATGATCGTCCGGTGAGTGTTTTGTTTTGTCCTCGTGAAAATCTTTATGGGCTGATCCGTGTGTGTAAAACGAACAGGTCAATTCTTCGTCACGCGTTCCGATCTGTTTCCGAGAAGCCGCGAAGACGAGTATGATTTAGGTACTTGATATCTTCGTTCGGTTTACTGCAATGGCCACAATGGATTTCTCGGGTTAATACCTGTAAAACGAAAACAAAAACATTGATCACTTCCGAAAAGAAGAAAAAACATATCTATATAAGTGGGTACATTGTGATATCATACGTGGAATACGTGCATCGGGGTGGTATATAAGCCTGTAACCGTTATATTAAGAAGTGTGCTATCGCAGGGAAGGGGGAGGGTACATCAGGTATATTATTATGATTATTATTATTATTGTTATCATTATTGTTTCTGGGTATCATATATGGCATGTCGTGAAAAAAAAAAAAAACGGGAGATCACCGGTGCCACGAAGACATATTTGTTGAACGGGCTACTCCGCGGGGTAGCAAGAAATATGGGTAGGTAAACGGTACACACGTAGTCAGTCCGTGGCGAATCGAAAACGAAATTAATGGATTTCGTATTGTAACCATTGGGACCTAGCAGAGTGCACGCTTGTGTACAACGAAAACGCGATGATAATGCGACGGAAAGTATGACGGTGAATAAAAATTAACGACGAGCGGTTTTCCTCTACCGTAAAACGCGAACAATCTCACTGCACTCGATACAAGTCGAACGGACAACGCGATAAAATTAGTTCGAAAATAAAAATCATGGGAACGTCGAGAGATTTTTTTCGAAATTCACTTATGCGTCGCGGCACATATTACGCTCGAAGTTAACGATTCGTACAGCCGAAGACACAATGTTCAGAGCCCGTCTACCTTACTAGATTTCATCGCACAATACGTAAACATTGTATTATACCTCACACCGACAACGCACACGCGTGCTTATGTGCCGTACGCGCGCACCGCCCTGGCGAGGTGATGTTATTGTATAGCTGTACATTGTGCATTAGTATTGGATTTATCATATCGTGTTATGTTGTCGCGTTCACAAACGCACGACCACAAGATGTTAGGCATTGTTAATTTTTTATTTTTATTATTTTCATTTTTGTCGTTCTCGGGTTGCAACGTGTCGTCGACAAATGTTCGTACAACGAAACTGGACGACGGTGTAACACTGCTGTAAAACGAATATAAGAATAACGAAACTCGAACGATGTGCGTGTGTATACGTTTTTATTCTGTTCGCGTCGGTGCCGACGCCGACAATTATACTGCTGTTGTTCGAGAAAAATTTCGAAGGATAACGGTAAAGGCCACACGCGAGATCGTTCAACCCCCTCTAAGCGTACTCGGCGCGCATCACCGCTGCACAAGTGCGAGGGACGGACGCGCCGAAGATCCGCGTGGGGAGCTGCCGCCGAGCACTAGAATTTCTTGCCGAGGAGTAAAACGGAAAACCGAACGGAACAAAAACCGTTTCGAACGCGTTAAAATGTGCGTAGCGTGGCAAACGCGATTAACGGTGGTGAAAAAAAAAACGAAACTGTCACGTTGTCATTACGTAACAACATCGCGGTCGCGTACGACGTTCGCAACTACAAACCGCGTAGTTTCTCGGCGAACGCGATTTTCCCGAACCGTGTGCGCGTGTCTGCCGCGTAGATATAGGTTAAGTTGTTGTACGCGTTTCCAGCCGTATCGACCGACGAACCGACGATGGGCAGGGGTGGCCGCGAAGATGACGGATAACAATGTAATATAAATGTATACGAATCGGTTCGCGCGTAAATCGATTTATGTTTCTTCTATTCGAAGTAATTTCAATCGAAACGGGCGCGAATAGAAACAACGTTCCGTCGCGGCCGTCGAAACGAGGGGAAAAAAATAAGAGAAATGTTTTTCCGCCGAACGGCGAATATGTGCGTGCGCGTGTGCGTCCCACACGGCCGCTGACGTTCAGAGTGTGTTTACTCAACGGCAACGGCGACGACGACGTATAAAGTATGTGTCGCCGCGGAGATCGGAAAAACGTCTACGAAATCACGTATGCTCGGTGCGTGGCCGCGTGTGCGTTTGGCCTTTTATAGACCGATATAATAATAGACGGTCGGTAAACATTGCACGAGCGATTGGAACGTGTAAAAAAAAAAAAAAAATACGCGTAATATACGTACCTACTGCACGCCGGTGCGTATGAAAATATTTTTCACGCGTATATACGATATTGCCGTTCGAGAGAGTATTTTTTTTATTTTTTTTTTTAAATATACACACGTACGTACAACGATCGATGTATGTAGAAAAAATGTACACACGGTGTTGGGTTTATGATATATTTACGTGAATGGTCGATCGAGTTGTAAGGGGGTGGAGGAGGGAAGACGACAAAAACTTAAGCCCTAAAGAACACACCATATAACAAACTCGCACACCCACGCGCACGAAATTATGTACACATATGGATAGCGAAAAACGTCACAAACGTCATTGTTACTGCCCCGCTCGGAATGTGATTAATCGGAATCTCTCTGTAAACAATTGGTGGTGGTGCGTGTGCGTGTTGCGTGGCATCGGGTTAATAGTATTAATATTGTTATTACGATTATTATAGACGTGGTTGCAGTTACTACGATTATTATTATTATTATTATTATTATTATCTAGTAAGGTTTTCTCGGGACTGAACAAAGAGTCTCGCCTTGTCTAGTATGTACGATGTCGTCGGTGCACCTGCTATACGGCTTGTACAGGTTTCTGTAAGAATTGTGCCTTAGTATTTTCGGGCTCGTTTGTGTGGTGGTGGTGTTGGTGACCGTGGTTGTGGTTAATGATCGTTTGGAACCCTTACACTTATTTCTCGAGTGCGTGGACAGATCCAATGCTTGCGGCTCCATCAGCGTGGCCGTCACCATAGTATTGATGAAACTGCTGTAAACAAAAATACATCGGTATCGTTAAAATCGTCGTTTGTAGCAGTAAATGAAAGAAAAGAAAAAATTAAAGAACAAACGACGCTATGTATCGTGGAAGAACATTACGGTCATCGGCCTACGCAGCGAAAAAGTAGATCGTTGACGATCGTTCGGAACTCGCTATCAATTTCAAATTATTATCAAATTCAACGTTATCGATTATATAATAGAATATGAGTGCGATACACGATCCGGTGGCATCCATATCGTCTGCTAGGAACAGTTTTATCGCCATGAATACATTTTATAATATTTGTATTATAATTTTGACAATATTGTATTGGACGTGTCGGAACCCAAATGCGAATGCAGTACGTGATTGTCAGCGCTCCTCGATGTTGAGCTCTTTGTTATCTATATATGCCCGCGCGACTGTTATAATACGAATTGTAGGTACGATTGTACGGTTATAGCTGTTGCAGGTATATATGTGAAGAATCTGGACTGAAATAACGGTAGGGACACGGCAGCGGCGGTCGATTGGCGATATTTACGGTCTATGCGTCGTAAATAAACCAACCCGACCGATTTCTACGCGACGAAAACTCGCGCTCATAATAAAATAAATGTATGTATTTACAATACACAATAAAGAAATTGTGTGTTCTCGGGGGCCGCTGTCACACGCATTAAACAATGAGTATCAAAAAAATTATCTGCGGGAACCCGACGAGGACACGAACGACGACCAAAGTGTTGTTATACACGACAACAATCGTTTTTCAATAATATTTTCTTTCGAGACTTGTATTTTCTGCGGCTAGGTATAACGTTAATAATAACCAACGATATAAATACGTATGCGACGACAGTATCTCGGCGTTCACGTCTCTCGTTGTCGTTTTTACGCCCCACATGTGACGCGAGCCTAAATATAGTTTTGTATACATTTTCAAATCCCGCCCGCCAACTTGTTGGTGTTGAGCATTGTTTTATTTATTTTTCAGTTATATGTTTACGGTTCGTCGAGGCGTAGCAGTTTACCATACGTTTGTATCGAGTTCCATCCCCATCCTCCACGGGATCACCGCAATCCGACAAGGGGTCGTAATAATATAGATATGGAAACAGACGTCGATAACTGATAACGATCAGTTTGTCGACGACCTGTGAAAAAAGAGAAAAACCGAACCGTGTTCTGTTGCGTTGCGTACGTGTTCGTTCCACCGCGTCGCGGAGGAGACCGGTCCGACGTTCCAGCCGATTGCAGTAGTAGTAGTACCTTCGGGGCCGTGCGCGAAAAAAAAAAAAAATGTACGATAACGATACCGTCTGGTCGCCGCGGCGCATACATTATGTTGTAGCTGCTGCGGTCGTACATAATGTTAACAGTTGCGTCGTCGACGAGTCTCGACAAAGGAAAAGAAATCCGAAAACAGAAAAAAAACCGATCGCCATAACCCGTCGCCGTCTGCCCCTCTATGTACGCGCGTTACTCGATTTCATCGAACCGCGTCTAATAATAATAATAATAATAATAATAATAATGACGACGACGATGATGATGATGATGAAGACGGCAGCCTACACTCGATGTGCTTGCGCACGGCGCGCGCGTGCACAATGGGTCGATCGACCCGAAAAAAAAAAAAAAAATAATAATAAAAAAAAAAATCTCTACGCCGACGAAAATCGTGTATGTGTCGGCGACGGCGGCGGTCGGTCGTTGGATTTTATTATTATTGCGCGCAGCGTACATAATACGTACACGGCCACGGCACGACGCGGCCGTGCCCCTCCGGGCCTACTCTCCTCCGCGGCAACGAGACGGTCGCGGCGCTCGCAAACGCGGCGCGACGAGGACGACGACGTCACGTAATTATCGCGTGCGACTCGCGGTTCCGTCGCGTTATTATTATTGATTCTCCTTCTCTCTCGCTCTCTCTCGCCCTCTCTCACTCTCTCTCGCTCTCTCTCTCTCTCTCTCTCTCTCTCTCTGCGCCTCTCGCGTTCCCGGTCCGTCGTCGTTACCCGTGCACCGCGCGCGTATATTATATATACGCGCGCGTACGTGCGAAGGGAAACGAAAATAAAAACTAAAAATAATGTACACCAGCGATTCTCGATCTTTTTAAGGCCACGGCTCCCCGTGATATGTCAAGATTTCGAGCCACCGTTTGATTGTAATCACGTTAAAACGTAGCGACAAATCATATCGATCAATACAACGTTTATACTGACAGTTCTAAACTTTTATCAATGGTAAAATTCATAACATCGACGGCCATGATGGTAAATACAAAAGAAACATTGTCGTCTCGGTTTGAGAATCTGTGCGATAGAAGTAATGGAATTACCTGGATTTGTTGTAGGTGGTACTTTCCGTGGTGAAATTTGGAGATAGAAAGTTTACTGAACCTGGTAGTGAAGTCGCCTGCAACACAAAACGAAAAAAAAAAAAAAAAAATGAAAAAAAAAAAAAAAAAAATGAATAAATAAATATAGAAAATACGATTGAACGCTATTTCGCGCACGCACGCAGACATCACGTATTGTTGTTACGTGTGCGGCGGTCGCAACTCCTGGGCGCGCGTTAAACAACTCGTACACACCACTCGATACGAACATAGTAATAATAATAACAACAATAATATCGTAATAATATACGCTCTGCGAGGCGTTTGCGGTGGCGGGAAATGGAAATAATATGTTGCGCACGCACGCGAGAGAGCTCGGCGACGGATCGCGCGCGAATCGTTACGAAACCAGAAGAGCAATGTGGACAGAAAAAAAAAAAATGAAAATAACCGTCGTCGCGGTCATCGTAAGCTTCGCGCGCGCGTGTACAATAATATAACGAGAGAGGTTCGGCGCGACCGCGTTTCGGAACGATTAATATTTGTTTTCCGCCGAGCGTACGCTGCACGCGCGCACGCATAGGTATGCGCTGTGCTCGACGATCGTTTGTTAAGGGGAAAAAAAAAAAAAAAAAACCTCGCGATAATAATTATTACACGCGGCCCCGGGACTATAATGTATAGTCGTCGCCGTCGCATTCGACGACGTTATATTCTGCGCGCGGGCACACGCGTATACAATTCGTATGTGCGCGCGCGTGTGTGTGTGTGTGTGTGTGTGTAAAATATAAATAATGGTTTCGAGATAATACGGTTTAACGTGCGCTGGTCGCGTACAGAGTATCGTATTTTTTTTTCCTCTTACGTTTAAACGAAAAAAAAAAAAAAGGAAAACGCGTCGAAATGGTATTGTGCGCGCGCACGAACAGCGCCGCGCGCGTAATAATAACGTTGACCGTAGCCGTTCGCATCGTGTGCGGGTACAACACACCCGCACGCACCGTAATAACCTAAACGCGTATATATGTATACAAACGGTTCGGCGACGACGACAACGACGACGTCAAAGTGTACACAGAGTAGGTATACAGAAAACCGCCCGAAAAGGTGTGCGTGTGCTCGTGTGCGCCGCACTGCGCAGCAGTACACTCGCGTGTGGACGACAACTATATATAAACGCGCACGAATTTATACGGGGAAAAAAGGCGCGACGGGTATATGTGTGTACAGAAAAATAAAAAGGTTTTATTTTCCTTTCCTTCCATCGCGCACGTTCCCCCCTCTAGCTCGCTCTTTCCCGACGAAGGGTTGTTAATATAAAAACGACGTATAAATCTCGTGATGCCGACGATGTGCTCGCCCGGTCGCCGGCGGTCGTACAAATTTCCAAAAAGAACCGTATATATATTTTGAACACGCACACACAGTATAAATATAATACGCTCGAACGTAAAATAGAAGACCGTGTGCGCACGTGTGAGTACCGTCGCGTCAACGCGATGGGACGAAGACTGTCGTCGGAGAATTACGGGATTACCGACCACGGAAACGGTGCTGGTACGTGGTACACGGAAAGGATAAATAATTCGTACGCCTAACGCGTACGCGCACATTAACGTGATTGATTATTGTTACTCACCAGCAGCGGCGACGGGCTGAAGTAGTTGTTGATCTTGCTCTGCAGCTCGGCGGGGCTGAGCCTCAGGCTCGGGTGATCGGCGGCCACTGCGGCGGCCGCTGCGGCGGCGGCGACCGCGGCGGCTGCTGCGGCATTGCTGCCTTTGAGGCCGGTCAACGACGATATGTTATGGTGCAGCGGGTGATGTGCGAGCTGCGACAGGTGGTGTTGCAGTTGCTGTTGCTGGGTGAGGTGGCCGAGACCGCCGCCGAGGCTGCCGTTGAGACCGCCGTTGAGCCCGCTGCCGAGGCCGCCGCCGAGACTGGCGGTCAGACTGGCGTTCAGGCTGGCGTTGAACCCGGCGTTCAGGCTGGCGTTGAGTCCGGCGTTCAGGCTGGCGTTGAGTCCGGCGTTCAGGCTGGCGTTCAGGGTGCCGTTGAGCAGGCCGTTGCTGTTGCCCAGGCTCAGACTGTTGTTGTGATGCGGTTTTTTAAGCTTCTGTTTGTTGTGATGAAGTAGGTGAGGCCTTTCGGGACTGCGACGGACGGGAGCATTCGGCGCGCAAGGGTCCGGGCTGCTGAAACGGGACCGACTGCCCTCCCGGTCTTCCGTGTAGCACGTGGACGAATTGTTGTCCGACCCGTCTACGGAGAACGATTTGGAATTGTCGTCCGATTTGTAACCGTCCGACGAAGCATTAGACGACTTGGTCTTCATCTCGTTGTACTTGGCCTCGGCTTTCATCACAATGTCCTTGTTCTTGAACCATCCGCGGAAAGTGGACTCGGCCACGTGCAGGCTCCGGGCTACCTCGGCCTTGGAGCAGCCTGTCATTTTGATGCGCACCAGCGCGTCCACCTTCTGATCGATCGTAAACAGCCGCTTGCCGTTACTGTACGTGATCGGTGACTCTTTCTTCAGACCTACTTCCATTGTGTGAAGGATGTCGATATATGTCGTAATATATAATAAAAACAGTCGATGCGCTGTGGCAGGTACAGGCTATCTGGAAAACGAAAAACAAAAATCGACGCGCGACCGTATAAATATTTGTTCACAAAACCCTTATACAGATATATATATATATATATACGTACAATGGTGGTGTACGCGTCATACGCTTTCGCGGACATTTTACCATAATAACGACGATAGTAAAAATAAAAACTAGTCTCGTTTCATCCCTTGCCGCCTACGTGTGCACGCGCAAGGGTAGAAAAGAATCGCTTGTTCGGAAGAACGCGCTGTGAGAACCGAATTTGATCGGGTTGGGGGAGGCGCGAGTCCCCCAGCGGATGAACGTTTGTTCATGTGCATTGGTGACGGGGCGATGAAGGACGGGTGTGGCGGTGGTAGTGGTGGTGGTGGTGGTGGTGGTGGTGACGGGTAAGGGCCACGTGTGTGCGTGTGTACGGTTGCAACCGGCGGTAAAGGACAGGTAACGTGTGTGCGCGACTTGACGGCGGCGGGCGGATGGAAAAATAACGACCCGGATCGGCGGCGGCGTAGGCGAGGGAGAGAAGATCCGTCGCGCCGTACGTGTGCACCGTGTATGCGTACGGGTTTACGATACGCACGGTGCGCGTTCGGTACGAAACGAGTTTCGGTTTAATACTACAACTACTACTGTACGCGCGGTCGTCACCGCTGCATAATAATGACGATAATAATAATAATACGAATGGACGGTCGCGACCGTGTATATACCTATATATGTATATATATAGACAATTTACATATTACGCAGGAGCGTAATGTCATCATCGTCATCGGCCAAAAGCTCGGGTCGATAGAAAGGAAGGTGATGCGGAGACGGGTTGGAAAGGACGGAGGAGGTCACCGAATCCGGGCGAGTGAAATCTGAACACGCGGGCGGAATGCGATAATCGTGTGCACGTATTCTCGATACGCGCTATTATTGTAGCGGACACCGTAACGTGAAAACGATTAAAAAAAAAAAAAATACCGGCGGCGTAAGGATCGGAAGTGAAGAGGGGAGCGGAGAGGCGTGTACAGGATAGGAAGACGGATATTCGCGTCGGTCGGCACCGTAACGATATGATGATGGTCGCAGTCGTTATTAAACGGTTTGAAAAAGCTGTCACCCAAACGATATTACGTCGGCTGCGAGGCGGCGAAGACTACGTCGTTGTCGTGTAAATATATATACGTCGAGTGTCGGCGAAGCGGGGGGATGGTTTTACCGGCGGTCGGCGGTGGCGGTTCGGTGGAGGGATGAATGAAATTAAGTGGTTAAACAATTGAAACGTCGTTTACGTTAAACGAGCCGGCCTCCGCTCGCGTTCATTTCACGTACTCGCCGCCTCCACCGCTAATCGAATAATAATAACAACAACAATGATAATATCAAGTGACGGATGTCAATAATCCCGAATTCGCCGCAACACCGCACGTTGCGGAACCGAAACACCGTTCAGACTTAAAATTTCATTAACGCCTTTTGTGCGTACCCCACATGTACCTACGCCGCCGTGTTGCGCGCACGTACCTCCTACATGATACATCGTAATTGATGAACGTATAAAATAATAACGGTGAATAATAATAATAGTAATAATAACGCATCGTTCCGCGGGCGGAAGCGGCGGTTACGGCTTTTGACGATGAACAATGTTTAGAAATATCGCACGACCGTGTTCCGTGCGACGCGGGAGGGAAATCCGACTTTGACGAGCGGCCAGAAAAAAATTACCCGTGTCCGCCGTTAAAACGGATCGTCGGCGAACGCGTGTCGATCGCGGCGGCGCGCGTTCACCGCTCGAAAACGTATCCTTTTCCGATGTAGAACGCGGCGTGCGGTGACGGGTGACGCGCGCATTCGTGTTCGCGATGATTGGCGCGCCGCGAAATACGTGAGTACGTGCGTATCCGCGAGCGCGTGTTTGCGTGCGTCCTCCATCGCGCAGTATCGCAATGATCTGTACGTATCGAAGCGACCGCGGTAGCGCAAACACGAACTCGACGGACTTCGTGACGGTACCGACGAAACAATAATACATCACGTTGTTATTGTTGTTGTGCACACGGAATATTCTCGTGGACGAGGCGGTATTCCGTCGTCGTCATTCCACGAACATATTTCACGTGCGTACATTTACGCACATGATTTCAAAGTAATAATTAGAAGTAGATAAATAATATATATGTATATATATATATATATATATATATATATATATATATATATATATACATCGTAATAGTAGTAATAGTAAATGTACTTGACACTGTACCGTAAAAGAAATTCAAAAATACGTACACATCAATAATGAAAAACAAAATATGTTTGGAGCTGACGTTCATGAATATACGTGTAGGTACGTGAGCTCCAACATTCGGTTTTACGTACGTAAATCGTATAAATTAATCGTTTTTCGTTGATTTTCGTGTTAATTGTGTTCGTAATTGCGTTCGTCCCCAAAGTGTATAGTTTTTCGTGCAAAAAACGAGTTGCACGCAACGATAATAATAATATTATGATCCGTTCGTTTTCGCGGCGAAGGGTGTATTTTTTTCCAGGCTACTTGTCCGCCACCGCGGATGTACGTCCACACGGACCCGACGACGAGACGAGTTGGGAGGAAAAAACGAGTATTAATTAAAAAAAAAAAAAAAACTCGCTCCGCGTTTTCCATCTGAAAATACCATTCGTGTTCTGACGTAATTCCGTTTGGATTTTCACACCGGACTAGCGCGCACGCTTTAATCTCGCCGTCGTATGACGAAACGAAAAAAAAAATCAACCTACTCGCTGGTTATTCTATTAAAAACGAGACGGCCGGGAAACAACGGTCATTTAGAAAACGGTACGCACGCATGTGAGAGTGCGTGCGTGTGCGCGGTATTGCGCGTCGTGTTTCCGTGACGCGTAAACTTTCGATCGGATAAAATCGGTTTTAAAAGAAAAATTAAATTAAAACGCGCGACAAACAAAAAGAATGCGGTGTTGTTTTTCCGCAAATTCGCGTGTGCACATGCCTAAGAGACTGGAGAAAGAGAAAAACGGGCCGCGAGAAAGAGAGAGAGAGAGTTATTGGTTTTTCGCGCGGAAACCGTTTAGAAAACGGAGGACCGTACAACAATAATATTATACGTTGTAAATGTACGTCGAGCGCCCGGTGCTGCGCGGTACGTGTGCACGGCGAGAAAAACAATACCCGGCCGGGTAGAAGTGGCGGCGCGATCGTAGGGACGTGGCGAAGAGGGCCAAAGGGGTACGCGATTCCGGAAAAAGTGTTCCACCGCGCACGTATGGTGTGCACGTACGGTTTTTGCCGCGCAATTTTTCACGGTCGACGGACTGCGGCGACGGCCGGTGGCGTATTTTTAGAACGCGTTTTCTTTTTCGTACACGGGGAATAACGCGACGACGACGACGGTAATTACGAGATTGCGTGCGCGTGGAAAGAAAGGACGGGGCGGCGCGTGGGGACACCGTACTCGCACGCACACACGCAAACCTCGCTCGTGTGTCTACAACAATAATAATAATACGCCGCGAGCGCGTGTGCGTGTGTGTTCTACGATCTCTCGTCGTCGAGCCGATTATATTATTATTATTATTATTATTATTATTTCGTACTCGCACCACGTCGCTACTATGCACTAATCCGTTCGACGTAATAAATTATTAAATCGCCGTCTAAGCCGCCGCCGCCGCCGCCGCCGCCGACGATACAATAACAATACACACACACACACACGGGCGCGCGCGCACACGTCTCGGTGCATATCAATCGTCTGCCACCGCACGCCGGCACACGGTCGACGGCGGCGGCGACGAGCAGATGGTTCGTCGTGCGTTCGTCGCCCGTATGCGTCCGTCCGCGTGCGGACGACGTACGAAAAAAATTGGAAGAAAACAATAAATGTTTTTCAACACGCGTTTACGATCGTCTTCCGGTGCACGAGTATAAGAAATCGCGTAGTACTAGTAGCGGTGGAGACGGTTTGAATAGCAACGGTTGTACTACTACCTAGTGGAAAACAGTGGTCAACAATAATCGCTAACCCATACGAAACAAAAAACAAAATAATAATAATAATAATAATAATAATAATAATGGGACGGTGATGAAAATATCCACTAATAATTATAATAACAACGTTTATTTTGTCGCCGTAACGATCTGCCGGAGCTGTACGGTTGGCGCGCTTTTTCGAAAAGCAATACGTTTCCGCGCGTGATATTTAACGATTTTTTTTTTTTTTTACTCCCCAAAGCGTATCGAAATACACCAACGTACATTGCATGTATATATAATATATATGTAACAGTCATGACAGAGAAAAAAAACACAAAAATAATAATAACAACAACGACGACGTACCTGGTGTGTTAGCTGAGAACTCTGCGGTGGTCGAGCGTTCAAACGGCGATTTCTGGCATCATGTCAGAGAGCTGCACCACGACGGCCGGTAGTTGATCGGGGGAAAAAAAAGTTTCAGCGAGCGAAAAAAAGTTCGTAAAATATTTTTAAAAAAAAAAACCACAAAACGTCAAAACCTATGAAACGGCTACGCAATGCCCCAGACCATCGGTATGGGTGGGAAAAATTTGGCGAAAAAATCGTACTTTTTTCGCGGGTCAAACAAAATATGAAAATAGTAAAAAAAAAAAAAAAACACGGGGGCGATACAATTATCGGGCGTACGACGGAAAAATATAATAAATAAATAATAATAATGCGTAGACGAACGAAAGTGTGTGCTGTGTGCGAGCGATACGCGTGTGAGATACGACGACGACGACGACGGCAAGGGTCGACCGGCGTCCGCGAAACGTGTGGCGGTAATGAGCAGCAGCCGCCGGCACCGCGCGGCTGCCACCACCAACGCGGGACCGCGGCCGCCGCCACCGCGCGCCGCCGTCGTCGTGCGCGTCGTAAACACACACACGTATATATATATATATGTATACCACGGACCGTACTCGGTCTCGCGCACACGTACACTTTACGGTCGTATCATATATATATGTGCACTGCGTGCGTGCGCGATCGTGTGTACACGTATATGTATGTATGTGTGCACGTGTGTGCGAGCGAGAAGAATTGGAAAATGTCATATGTCCAGCGGCGGACGGCCGCGGGAGGCCACGTTATCGCGTTGCCGCCGCCACCGCGGCCACCGCCGACCACGGAACCGTACGACGACAACGACGACGACTACGACGACGGCGGAGGACCGGACACCCCCGAAAATCCGATACGTACTACGCACGTTCACTATTATAATATTGTATTACGCTGTGGCCGACGCGGCGGTTATTCGCTACGTACAATATCGTATACCGTACGTAACGTCGCAGTACACACATATACGTGTGTGTAGGACGCTATATAATAATAATAATAATAATAATGTCCTTACCGCGCACTAGCACACAAACCACTCTCACACACACACGCACAACCCCCGCACTCGTCGCCGGGGGTTGAGGGGGCACTTCTTCGCTTGTGCACACACATACACACTCCCGCAGCATAAGCACGATACGTGTGTGTTTGTACACGCCGGCCACCATCGCCGATAACCCGCTGTCATCGTCGTCGTGGTAGAAGTAGTTTCTGAGATTATTATTATTATTCCAAGGGTTCGTCCGTTGGGAGCTGGCAAGCTTGGCCTCTGGCTGTAGTTTTTTACGATTTTTTGCGCTCCGAACTATGTGTATATACGTGCACGGTTGTGCGCAAAAGAGAGGCGGCGAAAAAAAAAATCGCGTGCGCTTAAATCTTTTTCCTCGCAATCGACGGGTCTGAAATAGTAAAATGTGTTATCGACATCGGAGCCAAGACCCCCTGTCTGCGCCGTCCTGTGTTGTTATTCCGTATCTCCATGTACACATTGTTCCGGCGAGTCGTTTTAGTAAAAAATTAAACGGACGGGAAAAAAAAAATTAAACTATTATAATAATATCGTCGTCGTCGTCATCGCCTTCATCAAACGTCACAACCGCAGTCGAAACGCACATTCGCAGCCGCGCCGTCGTCTTTTCTTTATCATCATCAAACGCAAGAAACGTTACGTCAGATGCCGCATATCATTATTATTGTTATTATCACTGGTAACGTCGCTGCTGCCACCGACACACATGCGAGTGGGTCGAAACGCATATTTTCGTTTTACACGTGCGTATATTATTTCGGTGTACGCGTGTATACACGATTTGTACACGATTTTTTTCGAAAAAAAAAAATCGTTTTTTGATGTATTTCGCGGTGGGGAAAGGGGCCCGTGTCAGTGGCGGCTTGCCGCGTAACACGGTAACACCGCGACGAGGCCAAAAAGAAAATGTATGTAATAGCTTGCGTTCGGTGTTTTTTTTTTCGCATTATGTACTGTTACGTGATGATTTCCACTTTGGACTCAGGTACCACGACGCTACCGCGTAGGTATATTATACCTGTCCGTATCTATCCTATTCGCGAATCAAAAAACGAAATTCGGACCTGCCTATAATTTGAAGGTTTTTTTTTTCTTCTACGCATAGTTATATTTTTTAATATTATATTATTCTTTTCGTATCTACACAATCGTGTTTAACGACGGCAGCAACTCAATCGTACACGCCGACGTATCTGTATATACAGTAGTAATACGTAAACAACACTATTGCGGTGTATCATAAATATGCATTCACGCGTTTAGACACGGTAATATCGTTATTAATTATTGTACACGCGTCGGCGATGCGTGTGCGTCTGTATACGTACAATAATATAGTCTCGACGGAGAGTAAAAACCGTTTACGATTTCCAATACAGATATAATACGTATGTCATATACTACTCGTACGTATACGGTGATTTAATTCATTCTTTGAACAGATAGACGGGGGGGTTCTCGTAATAATAATATGTATAATTGTATTATAATCTGCGGGAATCGTTATATTTAATATCAATAGTTCAATACGGCGTCTGCGGTTGCAGATAAATAAATACACGTCAACAATACCATAGCAACCAAGTATTGCGCGCCCGGAGTGAAACTTCAAAACGCGGCCTTACGTATTTTTAATTTAAAAATATTATAATTATTATATTTTTAATAAATCCTTCGATTAATACTATAAAGGACGTTGAAGTTTTTTGTAAATAAAACGTACAACATTGACCGTTGCAATTTTTAACATGAAATGCAAATTTTTTCATTTTTCCGCCCTTCCAGCAATCGCGCTCGAAGTATAGGCACTTCTCGCACCGCCCTCCGCCCTCTTTCTACGACCCCCCGTCAAATCAACGACGTCGTTGCGATTTTTCAAATAACACTTCCACGCACTAACGTTTCGCGCGTAAACATTATTTACAGACGGTTTGTATAGCCTAATGCCTCCCCGTTACATGTGAAATAATACACAACGTTTATTTAATTTAAATTTTTTTACCGTTTTTGTCGCTTTCTACCGAACGTCGTTAATAAAACTTGACGAGCTATAAATAATTGAAGAATTATTCTCGAGCGTTAAACACGAATCGTTGTATCCCTGACCAGAAATTGTTTGTTTTCGTACGGTGCGCGTGCACGCATTATTTTCGCTTCATTATTTTCGTTCGATGAAGCAATAATCACATGTTTATTTAAAGCATTTTCTCGTACACTGAGCTAGGTGAGCGACGATGAAATCCAATCGTCTGTTATATAAACAATAAAAATAAAAAAAACAGTGCCTCGTCCGTTTGCATTTATTCTCTTGTTAGAATGCGGCAAAGCTGTAAATTCAATAACTCTCGCCGTGACCAGCGAGTTAGGAAACACAAATTACTGTACGAGACGTCTTTCGTTTCCTATTTAGAGACTTTAATTTGTATCAGGGTCGTCTTTCGTAATAAAATAATATATTAACGTTCATAGAGTTTTTCTTTACGAAGTTAACAGACCGTTAACGTATGCAGATATCGCCGTCAACGCGGTCTTAACGCTTTTTTTATTAGCTATTTGTTTTATTCCCATTATACTCGGTCTATGTGGAAAAACGTTTTTGATGTGTACTTTTTTTAAGTGCTCGGTGATTTTTTTCACCTATCGGCGGACATTGAAATTTATTATTTTTCATTAATTGATCGGATTTGCAATGTGCATCGTTCGTAACAATTATAGGTATAACGTGTATGAAACCGTGAGTGTTGATATTTCATAAAACGTAAATAATAGAACAATTTAAGTTGTGTTTACTTTTCCCTCTTATTTCAATAGTCATCATTAAGTTTATAAATATTCATTATAATTAATTAACATAAGTCTTGCGTACACTATTTACATTTATTTAAAATATCGTAACGAACGGGGACGAATCTACCAGAGAGATGGGCTGGATACGTTTAAATGCTCTATTCGAGAACCTACACAGTACCGGTGTAACAAATCGGAATGTATCTGTGAAAAAATTTGTATCAAAAGTGAAAATCGCTCAACCCAAGTGAGTGCGCCGAACTTTTCCCATGGAAACCACGGTGTGATTCGCAATGATTTATCTAGTAATAACGGTCAGTTGTTCAAAATCGACTCATGTTGTGGGACTTCCGGAGGAGCACCGAGTACGTCAATATTTCGAATAAGGTGCGTTTATCTAACCGAATCAGTTCGACGATGACACGAATGAAGGCGAGCCATTGGAATCTGAAAATCAGCAATGGCTGCAGGACACTGACGCGGATCGGGTCGACAACTAAACGTCACTTATTGAATAAACGTTAAAAAGAATAATTTTGTCGACGATCCCGCCGCGAGGTGATGAGGGTATTAATATTATTTTTTTTCACCGTAGTGCACACACCGCGCATGAAAATCCTATATTATATACGTATATTTAAATTATGGTCCGCCAAAAAAAAAAAATAAAAAAAAAAAAAATGTTGAAATTAAAATTTGAATATTACGTCGTAACGATCGGGATTAACATCGTAATACGTTTTCACGAATCCGATCGGCGAGGATTAAAATTGCAAATTGTTTTCGGTACAGGAAACTCGTTGAACACGGTTTACCTACACACCGATACGTGTGTGTGTGTGTGTGTGTGTGTACGGCAACGCCCGGACGCGTAAAAAATAAAAACCGTTCGTAAATCGGATTTCACGTGCGCAAGAGGTGTCCGAACGGTGGCAAACGTCCGCCACGAGCCGGCGAGGTGTACGCGGGCAACGCGCGCAGCAAAGCAAATCGGCGGTACAGGTGCGGCAGCCAACTACGTCCAGACCAAAGTGAAAGGCGTTGCAACGGCGACGGTGATTTCGGGAACGAAAATTGTTTGTACACGAAAAATTGTTACCGGTAAAATTGTTTTTTTCTTTTCCACCTCTTCGCAAACCGGTTGACATCTTCTTTCTCTCTCGCCCGTGTCAAGTCTTCTACGTGCATCTTACGTACCTATACAGTTACGCGCTACCTCGTTATGTATGCGCGCGTGTCGGTGTGCGTCTGCGCGTCTGTTGTTTTTTTTTTTTTTCATTTGGTCGTTAAATCTATTTAAAGTCGACGGCGGCGACCGCTGCGGGAAAAGGGCGACTGCTTAAGCCGCGGCGACGGAATGGATATAACTAACGCGCGTCTGCCGCCGTCGATAACGTCGAAACGGGATAAATACGGTGCCTCTAATCACCGTCGATCGCGCGCGGCATTCCGTCGCAACCCGTACCATTATCATTATTACCGCGGCCGTTAATACGGTTTTGGACGGGGTCTGGACGAGATTGAACGTCGGGCCCCGAACCCATTATACTTATAATTATTTTAAGTACAGGGAAACCTGTACAGGTCGGGGCCCTCGACAACACGGAAACCTGCAACGGTTACCGGTTGATGGAAATTT